ATGATGCTCATTTTATAGGCCAATTTATTCAATATAGAGACGATTAAAAGAATCTTTCACTCTTTATTGGTAAATACAGGGTAAGTTTTAGTCCAGTATTCTGTGATCTGGTTGGGAAGTCTAAAATTGCTTACAAATCTGGGATGATTAGGTTTGAACCCTGGGGTGGGGTTTTGAACATAAGGTAATAGGATTATCAGAATGCCTCCCTAGAAAAGACTGCACCTGTTCAAAATGATTGCTTAAAACAGTCTAGTCAACTTTGTAGAAAATGCAAGTAAACACAGTTATGTAATGGTCTGTGGCTAGCTTTGTAATGCCCTGATTTGATTTGTAGAAATGAATTATAAAAGCAGGCAAGACAAGGTGCTGCATGGGCAAAATCTAATTTATGCAATGTAGAAGTATGCCTGAAAATAATCAGATGCAGTGGTTAATGGAGAAAGACGGTCTGCATGGTTAAAGATTATTGGCTTACTAATGATCCATTGGTAAACAGAAATATCCCTAGGGCAGTGATATTGAAGCAAGAGTAATGATTATCCATTTGCAACAATGTTTAGAAGATTTTATATCTATCTGGTCCTTCTGTTTTCTGCTGGTACTATACTCTAGTCATCTCCTGTTCACTGTAGGAAGAAGAATTAGCTCCATTTCTCATCATATTATCTGAAGATAATAGGACGTATAGAATATCGGGCTGTGTTGATCTTCATAGTCTCGCCCTCGAAATTGGTGCTATGAGATTTAAAGTGGAATGTTTCATTTCTACATCTTTTGAAAATCTTGAGTTTGTCAAGGAAATTTTTCCAATAAAAGGAAAGCTTATATTGGAAAACATCCTCATTAAAATTTTAAAACATTTTTTTAGAAGTTCACATTCAATTTGTTTAGATGCTTTTGATCAAGAGATAAGGGATACCCATGAAATTTTAACTCAAAAATCGGCAGCAAATTCTTGATTCAGTTTGATACATGTGAAGACTCTGTAGTCCCATGATACAGAACCATTCCAGAGTAAAAATTGTTTAATCCATTCCTATAGAAAGATGTTTTTTTTTTTAAATGAAGGTCAGAAATAAAAAGAATAAATAATCAGAAAAAAAGTAACACTTCATCATCACTTGTCAACCATGAATTCACTCAGTCGATTCATTTCTCAGTCCTGAGATGCATGTCTTTTTCACACTTGAACCCCTCTGTGCTGAGAATGGATCTAACAACCAATGGAATGCCATGATTTAATTAAAATAGCCCTTTTTTCCTTAGTGATACAAAATGTAGTGTCTTGCTTGCCGTCAGTGGTGTCTTCAATTGAGGGAAATAATTAAATTTTAAAAGCTCTTCACTGCTAATGCCAAAAGGGAAGCTGGCAAATTGCATGATGAATCCACCAGCCATTGTTGGTTAGAACTTTTCTTACAATTACAGCTTGGTTGTGGTGTCTGATTCTGAAGTATTCTGCTAGTGTTTAATGCAGAAACATGGCAAATGTGTAGCTTGCGTCCTTTGAGAAACCATATGCACATAGTCAGTGATGAGAAAGAGAGTCGCTTGAGGGCTTTGTGCTCTCCATTATTTCGTTTGTATTTGAACTGTAAGCACTGATGTCGACTTGTTTGAATACAGGCCTCTCACCCACACTCTTGCTGATGTAGTATAAAAGACTGCACCCTATTAGCACCGTATTTTAAAACTGGAAGCCAAATTCTGATCCAGAGTAGCCATGGCACATTGCCTAGGGCAGAATTCACTTTGACTGCTTTATGTTTTTGTTTTTGCTGGAGTTGATTATCTCTGTTCTTTGCCGTCTTTGTGCAGGATCTCTCTAAAATGTTTATCAGCAAGTATAAAAGACACCTTCTGTCAAATGCTAAGCATGCAGCTCAGCTCTCAACTAGGGGTGATTTTATACTCTTGGGACATTTGGCAATGTCTGGAGACAGTGTTGGTTGTCACAAGTGGGTGGAGGAGGGGAGATACGGCTGGCATTAAATGGGTAGAGTCCAGGGAAGCTGCTAAACTTCCTACAGCAGCTATAGGACAGCTCCAAGCAATAAAGAACTATTGGGTTGAGAAACCCCAGTATAGAGTCTGGCACATAGTAAGTGCTTAGTAAAAGGTTGCTATTATTATTGGGACTCTTATTTATCCAAGTTGGTTCATATACTTACTTTTCAAGCTAGTCCCTCCTCTAAATAACATCACCACCATAATTTCAGCAATAGTACTGGGAAAAAAGTATGTAAAATACTTTTCCAGTTTTCAAGTGTATATTATGATTCCCCACACATCGGAAGTTGCAAAGAGATTCATTTTATCTGTGGAAATAGGCCTCGAAGTCCCCCTGTAAGTTGGGGAGTTCTGCATGCTAGCATTGCACAGTAGGGAGGACAGAGAGATGAAACACAACTCCCAGCTCAGGAGTTCAGAACTAAAAACATCTCCTTTCAAACCTGCACATTCCATGCTGGAATGACAGCAGGGGGAAACACATTAATAGAGACTGCTCAGCCTTTTTCCCCTGCACACTAACTAGAAGATGCACTGAATAGAACAAGAATTAAGCACACACATGTGCACACACCACCACCCTCGCCACCTCCAACGTCATGCAGCGGTCTCTCTGATGCTGTTTTATTCATGGGCTTTCCATACAAATCTCTCAGAATTCGCCAAGCAAGCATGGCCAGCTCTGTATGCAAATTGTTGCCTCCCTTGCGACAGCACAGGAAGAAAGTTAAACTCAGAGAACTAACTCTGATGCAGTGTACTTCATTTTGAACAGAGATGACTGTAAATGCGTTGTTCAGAGGGGAGGGCAAAGCTCAGACCTTACGTGCACTTAAGTCATAGCAAAACCTTTCTTTCTTTCCAAGCTGGCTTTGACATTACAAAAATCACAAGCCACCACAGCATACTCTATCACTGAACCTTCCTGTGTCTTTATTTGCCTTTTGAGAAATTGTTGAACACTGGAGGAAGTGATTTTTGGTTAATGTTTGAATACTTAGGGCTCTTAATACCTTGCCTTCATTGAACCATAAGTAATTTACTCAATAACAATAACATCAAAAAGAGGTTTCATTTACTTAGAGCTCGAATAGTACACACTCTGAAAGTCTTTAACGTTTGTTCCTTTTTCTTTAGATTATTAAAACATTGTGAGATTTTGAATATATATCAGCCCTATGCCAGGCTCAAATTTGTTTACCTAATTATTCTTAGTCTTTCTTTGTATTTCCATTTCAATACACTGTTCTGGGAGTGTCCAGAGACATATATATATATATATTCCCAAATATATATATATTCCCAAATATATATATATTCCCAAATATATATATATTCCCAAATTCAAGTAGCCAAAGGGTTTTTTAGTTGTCAGTGTTTGTTGTCAATGATGATGATGTTGGAACATTTCTGTCATTCACGTAGTGACTCCCCCAAGTTATAGTTCATTTCATTTCCAGGGTAATCAATGGGAAATATTATACATGTAACTCCCATGAACATTAGATGGTCATTCTCTGTAGACAAGGCCATCACTTGTCTTTAGGAACCCTCCCATTCTACCCAGGACATAATGACTTTAAAAGTCTGGTTTCTTCTGGGTCACAAACTCATTCAATCCAATTAATACAATTAAAGCCAAACAATAGTAACTATGTTGCCTCAAAATAATTTCCTTCTCTTCAGCTAGCTTTGATGTGAACGTTCGAGCTCCTGCCTGGCATAGACTCATCTGAAATGATATGATTTCCCCAGATGCCCTCTAAATAGTATCAACTCTTTTCTTAAAATCTGAAATGAAAATAAAATTAATATTCAGCAGAATCCACTGGGGGTGCTTCTCGCTAGTAAATTCCCATTAACCTCAGAGCGAGATGAATCCTGCTGCAGGTTAATTGGTCAAGAATACTTTCTAATTGAAAAGATTGTGATTCTATTCTCTAAGACTTCCTCTCAGAAATACGGCGGCTGTAATGTATGTTGAACTTGTTTTCTCAACTCCAGACAAATTAATGGAGGCTGAGCTATTGCAAAAACTTGGTAACAATTTTAAATGGCTCAATGTAATAATATGCTGTTCTTTCCAAGCAAATGTTGCCTGTAGTTTCTAACTGTCAAAACCTTAATAATGACAATAATTCTTGGCCTGCCCATAAGTGAGATTATGAAACCCAGCAATGAGGAAACCATTAAAAAATTAATTTAAAGGAAAGTTAATTGCAGACTTAATATGGTGTTTTGCAACTTGGTCAAAAAAATGTTTCAGCCTGATTAACAGTATTTTTCAAGGGCTGGAAACATGATGCCCGCCTGAGGAAATGGTTTTTCCTTGTCAGCTTTTATTCTCCATATATTCATCTGAGGTTGTAAGTAGGCTCTAATACTTCTGTGAATTCAGTAGTTTAAAAAAAAAAAAAAATTTCCTCTGTCTCCAGGAATAAGAGCAAGGAAAGGAAGCGATGGAGAAAAGAATTCGACTTATAAGGCCCTAAAAGCTTTTGGGATTTACTCTCCTTGGGTTATACTTTTAATCTGCCAAGAAATTCTTCTTGTACAATAGCACTGTGTCTCCAAATTTCAAGAACTTCCAGTCCTCTGGGATAGAAATCATTCGGGGTTTTTATTTCACATGGCAGCACTATTTATTTCGAGGTTGTATTAAATGTTTCATAATGATCTCTCCCAGCCTCATTCCATCTCCAAGAGTTTGGGTAATGTTAGATTCCCCAAGACTCGAATACGTGTCTCGCTCACCAGCCTTGAAAGGCAGTTAAGTTTGCAGATTTCAGACATTATCTTGGGTCCCTTTCGTTGGAAATTAGAAAGCTGTGTAATAGTGGTGAAAGTCACTGGATTAGGAGTGCATTCCCCATGCCTGTGACCCTCTCCACCCCTGCCACACACACACACACACATACACACACACACACACACACCCTCCCCACCAAATGACCCAAAGCTCCCACTTACACGGTCTTTCTTCTTAGTGCTCTGTGTCCTGCGGCCAAGGCACACGGCGGAGAAGTGTGGGCTGTCAGATGGGAGCACACAGAATAGCCAGAGAGTCCGAGTGCAACCCGTACACCAGACCGGAGTCGGAGCGTGTCTGCCAAGCCCCGCCGTGTCCTCTCTATGCGTGGAGGGCCGAGGAATGGCAAGAAGTAAGTAGAGCCATGAAGTGGGCACCTGCCAGGCATTTCGCTTAACCCCCTTGCAGTCATCACATCCGTTACCCTGAAATGACTTCAAGCACGGTGACAAGGCTGGCTCTTTCCCAGAAGGTTTGCTGTCAAGACGGTGAGCAGTTTGCTCCGACCAGGGTGGGAGAGCTCCTCCTTTTTATGCAGTTCCTACGTCTGTGTTCTTGAATGTTCCAAGTCGGGCTGCCTCCAGAAAAACTGTATCAGGCCTTGGGCCAAACGCATACAGCTATCTTGCACAAAAGGAGGGGGAGATAGAGGACATATTTTCGATACATCTATCCCAACTTGGTCATTCTGTATTAGTTCCAAGAGCCACCAGGCATACTCCAGGTAGGACCTGCTCTGCGTGTGTCTCCTTTCGTGACTTTGGCTGTCAAGTCGAAGACAGGCCCTCTTGTGAAGCTCTGATTAATTAGTGAAGCATTTCCAACATTTAAAAAAAAATGATGGAATCTGAAAAACAGCTCAGTTAATGCAGAGATAGATAGACCTGTTTTTCTCCCTCTCCAAGTTAATGTTTAGTTAAAGAAAACATTGTGTGTCCCTGGAGAAAAGTCTGGCGAGAGAAGGTAAGACTTTAGGAGGAGGGAACCTCTGGTTCCAGAAGAGAATACGTAGTAGAAAGAGGGGAAAGAGTATAAGAAAGCAAAACTGCAACCACTGACATTAGAATGAAATAAAAAGTACATGCTCTCAACGGTTTAGAGATACCACCAGGAATGGTTTTTAGAACAGGGAGAAACAGTGGCTGGCTCAGAGCTTTATGTTCATCCCCTCGCTTAACCTTTTGAAGCACTAGGCAAAGTGGTGTCATTATTATCATCCCATTTTGCAGTCAAGGAAACTGAGTTCTGAGAGCCAATGTCGCTTGTCCCCGTGTCACACGCCCAGCAAGTAGAAGGAGCAAGACTTGATCCTAAATGCAAACCATTCCGAGATACTAACACTGCATTTTTAAAAAAGTTTACGCAAGTGCTCCTAGCAATACCACTTTATTTTTTTTCCAGGTGTATAAAGATATAATTGGCATATAATATTGTATTTACTGTAGGTGAAAACATGATGAATTATATATCTATTATAAAATAATTACCACGATAAGTTACTGTTAATAATAACTGTTATAGTTAACATCTATCACCTCACGTAGTTACAGATTTTTTTTCTGGTGATGAGAACTTTTAAGATCTACCCTCTTGGCAACTTTTAAATATATGAAACAGTATTGTTAATTATAGTCACTCTGCTAGATCCCCAGGACTTATTTCTTTTATAGCTGGAAGTTTATACCTTTTGACCCCCTTCACCCAATCACCTAGCCCCTACCCATCACCTCTGGCAACACCAATCTGTTCTCTGTATCTATAGGTTTGATTAAGATTCCATATATAACTGAGATCATACAATATTTGTCTTTCCTTGTCTGATCGAGATCACTCAGCACAATGCCCTCAAGGTCCATCCATATTGTCACAGGTGGCAGGATTTCCTTCTTTTTATGGCTATTATATTCCTGTGTGTGTGTGTGTGTGTGTGTGTGTATACATTTTTTTAAATTCATGCACCCATCGATGGACACTTAAGTTGCTTCCATGTCTTGGCTATTGTAAATAATGCTGCAGTGAACATGGGTGTGGGGGGAGCAGATATCTTTTCAAGTTAGTGATTTTATTTCCTCCAGAGAAACACCCAGAAGTGGAATTGCAAGATGATATGGTAGTTCTGTTTTTAATTTTTTTAAGATTTTATTTATTTATTTGAGAAAGAGAGAAAGAGCACAGAGGGAGAGGGAGAAGCAGACTCGCCGCTGAGCAGAGAGCCCAAGGTGGGGCTCGATCCCAGGACCCTGAGTTCATGACCTGAGCTGAAGGCAGATGCTTAACCGACTGAGCCACCCAGGTGTCCCCTATTTTTAATTTTTTGAGGAAACTCCATACCGTTTTCCATAGAGAATGCACTAATTTACATCCCCACCCACAGTGCGCAGGGGTTCCCTTTTCTCCAGACCCTCGCCAACACTTGCCGTCTTTTGCTATTAGCCATTCTAGCAGGTGTGAGACGGTATCTCATTGTGGTTTTGATGTGCGTTTCCCTGATGATTAGCGATGGTGAGCACCTTTTCATATATCTGTTGGCCATTTGTATGTCTTCTTTTGAGAAATATCTGGGCAGGTACTTTGCCCATTTTTAGTTTGATGTAGTCCCACTTGTTTATTTTTGCCCTTAATGCCTTTGCACTTGGCGTCACATTCAAAACAATTATAGCTAAGACTAATGTCAGGAATCTTACCTCCTATGTTTTCTTCCAGTAGCTTTATGTTTTCAGATCTTTCCAGTTCAAGTCTTTAATCCACTGTGAGTTCATTTCTGTGTATGGTGTAAGGTAGGAGTCCAGTTTCATTCTTTTGCGTGTGACTGTCCATTTTCCCCAACACCATTTATGGAAGAGACTGGCTTTTCCCCATTGTGTATTCTTGGCTTCTTTATCGTAAATGAATTAACCATATCTGTGTGACTTGATTTCTGGGCTCTCTATTCTGTTTCATTGATCTGTGTGTCCTTTTTTATGCCAATACCATTCTGTTTTAATCACTACAATTTTATAACATAGTTTGAAATCAGGGAGTGTGATGCCTGAGCTTTGTTCTTCTTTCTCAAGATTGCTTTAGCTATTCTGGGTCTTTTGTGGTTCCATACAAATTTTAGGATTGTTTCTTTTATTTCTGTGAAAAATGCCTTTGGAATTTTGATAAAGATCGCATTAAATCTGTAGATTGCTTTGGGTAATGGGGACATTTTCACAATACTAATTATTCCAGCCCGTGAGCACAGAATATCTTTTCATTTATTTGTGTCATTTTCAATTTCTTTTATCAGTGTCCTAGAGCTTTCAATGTACAGGTCTTACACCTCCTTGGTTAAATTTATCCATAGGTGTTTTGTGTTTTCTGATGCAATGTTGAATGGGATTGTGTGGATCAACCCATGTGGGGATCAGCCTTCCAGCCCCGTCCTTCCCTCTCCCTCACCCTCCTGATGGATTGGATCCACTGTTTGCAGTCATCTCTTTTCTTTAGGACTTTTACTCCCTCTATCTACTCACGTGTTATGCTTGTTTTCTCTATGTTTTTTACTTCCACCAGACGATGGTGGGGAGGAATGGCTAAAGTAGTTAAATTTCAAATTAATTACACTGGGCCACACAAGTTATTGGGAGCCGCAGAGGCTGTGGAATTCTGCAGACCTGGTTCATATCCCCGGACTGTGACTTTTTAGCCATGTGACTTTAGAACAAGGATTCTTGATTTTTTGGATCCTTGGGTTTGTCACCTGTAGAATGGGGATAATAATAATGATGCAGAGTTGTTCTGAGAAGTTTAGAGATGGCAGAGTGGCTTGGAGATTGATAATATCAGATATGGAAGGAAGAAAAGGCCCCCTGATCTCTGTCTCTCTCAGTGTTACCTCTTGATTCTTTTTGTAGTCTTGTTTCAGACCCACCGCTGCTGGCTTCCTCCCTCTCCCTCTCCCTCTTCATCTTGTGCCAGACACCACTCTGTGTAACCCTTCCAAGGAACAGAAAGTTAAGAGAGTGTTCCAAAATGAATCTAAGCTGACTGCTCAAGCTCTAGCCAACTTTTGAAAATGCTAGAGCCAATCAGGGAAATGCAAGCTCCATTTACAATTCCTTCCGAATTCCGAAGAGTAGAAACCTTGCCAAATATGCACTGAGGAACTCCCTTCTCTGATCTTACAAGATAGGCCTAGAAGTGTACATCTTTGCATGCCCTATGCAGATGGATCTTTTAAAACCCTTCCTCAAATATTGCCAGCAAGCTCCACGTCAGAGCAGAACACCTACGGAGATGGCCTGACCTGTGGCCATACTTGAAAGGGAGAGGTTAACCATTCTCACAAAGACAAAAGCATCTTCCGGCTGTGAGTAAAGCAGATTCTAATAGTTACCCTTCCGCAACCAGTCTTTCTCACCTGCCTGAACCCAAAGTGCAAAGTTTGAGAAGGAGGGACCTGGGTGGTAAGAGAGGGTAGAGCGCTAGGGGGCACCCTCACTTGACACCGAATTGGCCAAGTGAGGCTCAGGGCAGCGGGAGGAGGGACAAGACCCATCAAAAACCCTTTGTTCCTCCTGTGCAGAGCATGCTGGGGGCCCTTTTAGAATGTCCTCACAGCAACTAGACTTAGAGTGAGTGTCCAGAGCAGCGGCTGGATCCCAAGTCTTGACTGCCTGTGGGCAGTTCCTGTGTATGCCTAGCAAAGCCCTTGTATTCATTGTAAGTATTCATTGTCCCTACTTGAACGATCCCAGGTATCCTTGTTAAACAGCCCGTTGGCTAGAACAGCAGCCTTCAGACCCCCCTCAGTCGCAGCACTCACCCTCCTCTCTTCCTCCTACCTCCGCACCCACTCACTCCCTCTGCTACCATCTTTCCTGACACCTACTTTGCGCAGACATGTGTCTTGACTTTCTTGCCCTCCACGAGTGACACCTTGAGCTTGTGTCGATGAGGATGCCAAGGCCCAGCCTCAGAGCCGAGGCCCACTGGATGGGATGTGTGGGATGGCTCCTACCCCAATACAGGAAGTTCTCTTCTTGGCAGTCCTTGGCAAGCACTTCAGAGCACTTGTTTGCTTTTTGAGTGTGCATTTTTCTCTTTTGCTTCCCTTCTGTGAATTATTAAAACCCACTTGTTTGTTGGCAAGATGTGTTTCATGCTGGGCACATAGTAAACGGCAACCTCCTCATTTTGAGAAATAATCCAGGTGTCCGCTGTGGAGGAGCACAAGGTCTACATACCCACGGTAGCATGATCATCAGGGATGTTTTATGCAGTCACACAGGTTGTACACTGCACAACTCGAGGGCTACCATTCCTATAGGTCACAATATGAGTGGCATCCCCCAGACTTATATAGGGTAGTGGCCAATCCTGATAATAAAAATAATATATCTTATTGTATATTAAGCTATGGGTCAAGTACTTTGTTGAGTATTTTTATGTGGAGGACCTCATTTAACCTTTCCATAACTCTCTAATGAAGTAATTAAGTTTTCATCCTCACTTAAAGATGAGGAAACTTGAGGCTTAGATAGGTTAATTCATCCAAGGTCATGCATTTAGTAAGTAATAAGACTGGGATTTGAAGCCTGGAAGCCTGACTTCTAGAACATATGCTCTGAATCTTTGTATTCTATTGCCTCCCATGTCAACATTCATCTACAGTGAGTTATTTTATTTCCTTTTTAATGGCTTGTCTAGCCTCTTACTTCAGAGTTGGCATAAAGGTACAATTCCCTTGACTGGTTGAGCCTCTCACTCTCTTCAAAAAATGAAATTCTTGGTCCCCTTGGTTGGCAATAAGCCCTGTTGTTGGGCCAGTCTTGGTGGGGATGGAGCACCTCAGGGGACCTCCCTCATTCATTGTGAGGCCTAGTGCCTGAGCAGCAGGGAAGGAGCGTCATTGTGCCTTCCTGGTACTGTAAGAGTAGAGCCTGGACATAGATGGAGGGCAAAACAATTGGAGAAGAGAAAAATGCCATATCCAGACATGAATGTTGGGCTTTTAATATCACCTGCCAACTTTGGGCAAGTTATTTGATCTCCCCATGCTCAGTTTTACTCAGTTTAGAATTACAAGGCCCATGAGGCAAAATTCATTTGAAAATTACTGTAATAAATGATTTACTTATTCATCACATTATAATCTGACATATAAATTTACTTATAGCTGCAGAGGTCTTTTGATCAAATTTGAATTGTGAACATGTGGGTTACACATCTCCCAGGATTAAGGAATAAATCTCCCAGGACTTGCAAGAGTTCTTTTTTTCACCTTCACCCAGAGTATTCTCTTGTCCCTAGTGCCTCTGCATCACAACGAGTCTGCCCCCCTCCTTCCCTCACTTTGGTCACCTTTGCCCATTCTTCAGACCCCACCTAAGATGTTACTTCTCAGAAGTTCTTGCAGATCACCCCTCCCCACCAATAACTGAGTCAGATGGCTCTCCTCTGAGCACTCATAGCACCCTGAAAACACTCCCCT